TAGGGTAGTTCACAAAACTACTAATATTTCTCCTTTTGAAACTGTTTATGGGTTCAATCCTTTAACTCCTTTAGACTTGTTACCTCTTCCTAATGTTGAGCATTTCATTCATAAGGAAGGGGCTTCAAGGGCTGATTTTGTTACGAAACTTCATGAAAGGATTAAAACTCATATTCAAATTCAAAATGAGAAGTATGCCCAACAAGGAAGTAAAGGCAAGAAACCTATGATCTTCAAGGAAGGTGATTGGGTTTGGCTTCACTTAAGAAAAGAACGTTTTCCACAACAAAGGAAGTCCAAACTCAGTCCTAGAGGAGATGGTCCCTTTCAGGTCTTACAGCGTATCAATGAAAATGCTTATAGACTTGATTTACCCTCTGATTATGGAGTCAGCACTACTTTTAATGTTAGTGATCTCAAACCTTTTGTAGGTGCTAGTGATGATGAGGAAGAGTCTTCAGATTCGAGGACGAATCCTTCTCAAGAGGGAGGGAATGATGGAAGAGCATGGGCTAAAGGCCCAACCACTAGAGCTATGGCCAGGAGATTACTTGAAGACTTGTCTGCTTCAGAGCTTAGTGGGCCCAATGGGCTTGGTGGGCCTAGGGTACTTCTCACATGGACCTTACTTGATTAAACACCATGTTTTATTGCATTTTATTAGTATAGGAAATTACTTTGATTTTGGTCTTGTATTTTGACCATAGACTAGGGTTTATGTTCTTGGGCTTGTAATTGGGCTTCTTAGGCTTTGGGCTTTTGATACCCAATATCAGGCTCATTCTTCTTCTTGTAATTTTTTATATTCATTGTATTCATTAGACCAATGTATTTCGGTCATTAGACTAGGTTTATATGAAGTATACATTAATAGGTGAATTAGGTTTCATTCATGTGTCATTTAGAAGTAATTTGAATTGAATTTGAGTCACATGGATGGCATGGAGTGGTTCCGGCCATGTGAGCTCCAAATTCACTTCAAATAACTCTTAAATGACATCTAAATGAGGGTAGCATCCGGATTAGTCTTGAGAGTGGCCAAAGTTTGAATTTCAAATTCAAATTTGAAATTCAAACTTGGCGCCAACTAGACCTATTTGGATTGCCGCCAAGTTAGTCTAGCTTCCCACCTATAAATGTGTATTCTTTGCTTTGTAAAAACACTTTTGATGATATAAGATTTCTGAATTGAATTTTCAGCCATCTTCAAGAGTCACCGAAGTTCTAAGAGAGAGCAAGAGAGAGTGCCTTCAAAACCTTAGGAATCCCTAGTTTCCTTCCCTTTGAAGTGAGCAATCTCTTGATTGCTTGAGCTTGGATGCTTCCCTCTAAGGCTTTGGCCTTCAATCCAAAAGTTCTCCTTCTCCTAAAGTGTTTCTCCATCCGGTGTTATCTCCATTGAAGTTGATCCGTGCCTAGAAGGAGCTTAGGAGGAGTTCAATTTCCACTTCTTCTACTTCTTTCTATCAAGACATGATCTTAGTTATATTTGATGATTACAAATAAACCTCTTGAAAGATAAGAGTACAACTTGTAGTGTTGTTTTGTGTTTTGAGCCTCTTAAAAGAAAAAAATGCAAGTTGCATCTTGTTTGTGTGTTTAAAGCTTTGTTGTTTGTGTGCTTTGTGCTTGGTAAGTAACTTAGTCTTTTATCTCCATCTAGATGATGATTGATGAAGAAAATAAGTTTTATAATTGATTTGTAAAGAGAAATGGTATAAAAATTGAGATATTAAGTTTTCACACTTAAAAAAAAATCAATTATCTTAAGTAATAATCGATTATTTGCTATGTTTTTCATAAGTTTGAGGAGTAGTTGTTGTAATAATCAATCATTCAGCAAAATAATCAATTATTTCAGAAATTGGTTTCTAGAATAACCAATTATTGCTCAAAATAATTGATTAAATAGTTATTGGTTGATTTCCATATCTGCTAAAAATAAAATAATGGATTATCCATGTAAATAATTGATTATTTTAGTCAAAAAACTTATATATATATATATATATATCATTTTTCACATTTGGAACAGAGAGAGACTTGAATTTTTGTGATATTTTTTTCGAAAACACTCTCTGAGAAACTTTTTTCTTTGCAATAAGAGATTTTATAACCTTTGTAGCAACCTTAAGAAAGATTTCAAGATTTAAATTGATTATCATATTCATGGAGTTAAAGAATAAACTACTTTGGTTGATTCACGTACTTTGATTTTGTTTTGTACATCAGGTGAATACGTTCCTTAACTTTTGTATTGTGTTTGTCTTCAGTAGGTTTCTTAAGAAAGGAAAATCTTGTAGTGAGAATCTACAAGTAAATGTTTCTTGGGGTGCAAGAAGTTGTTTCTTTAATAGCGTAGAAGTATATTGCAT